GAGAATATACTTATTAATACATTTTATGCTACACTATTCGTACACTTATAAAATAAATTTAATCGCCAGCAGTACGAAAAATTGTAACGGAGTGGAGGCAAATGCTTCTTCCAAAAGTGGGATAAACTATTTATTTATTTTTATTTAAAAATTATATATAATTTAATTACTAGCTGCCTAGCTAGCTAGTTCGCTGAACGTCGTTTCTCCTTACCAACATTGAGCATTTTGCTATGCTACCCCAGACACTGTTCGTATTTCCAGAATAAAAACTTTTTAGGTTTTTCTGTGATTTTTCTCTATATAAACCTCAGAGTTCAAGTTATAAGTTATTAACTAACAAATAAAAATAGGGGTTGATCATAGAGGGTAGATAAAAATTAAGGGTTGTATGTATTTTTGTAGGCTGTATCATAAAAACAAAAAAATTGTCAAAAAATAAAAATAAATGTTTTTGTGGTGGACAAGTCCACAGATTAAAATTGGTAATAATGTTTATCTGTCAATTCTTGGACGTACATTTATGTGTAAAGTGCCACATATTTTTCTTGGCCGGCGGCTGAAAATGGTACTACCGTCGCCATTACAGGCAAAACACGTGTCGAGTGCTTCAAATGATTTACTAATATTGCTACTAGCAATAATGCCGCCAGTTGTACTGTTTTCTAATGTTTGTGTTTATTTTCTGTAATATCTTGGTGCGTACAATAAGTAATTTTACTATCTACATATATATTAAAAATCCAACCAAATTTTTTTATACGTGCATAACAATAGCAAAGGCAAAGTTTTAATTATTGAACGGTTCTGATTGCTAGGTATCTTAAAAGATATTATATTAATAGTAATAGTAGTAGTCGTTCCTAAGTTTGTGTCAAATTTATTTAAGCCTAGAACTGTATTTTCTAGATACTAGTATACATTGTGTCATTAATACATTTGAATAATTAATTAAGTTAGCGTGCATGACTTCAAATTATTCCCCTTATAATGGTTAATTTTTATTAACTGGCAATACTAATATCCATGACAGCGACGCTCTTACCGGCCAAAAAAGTATGTGGCACTGTATAAATTTTAATAGTTACTAAAAATACCTCTAAGACATTGTATAGACATGTTTCATAATTCATCTTACGAGGGAATTTCGTTTCATAAACTATTCAATTTTATTTTATGGAACTTCATGTATCGAAGGTGTGTTCTGAGAGGATTTCTTAACCTACATTACGTAATAATAATAATAAATAATGTAACCACTACTTACAGTTATGAGTAAAGTATGTTGTATGATTATTATTATTCGCCTTTAGACTACGCTCCAGTCTACAGACAATGTTTCGGTAGTAAACTCCACTTCGTAGTATAACATTATTTGACACCATAAACAATCGCCTGCCATTTTTATTTACTTCACATGAATGGCGAAATACGCGCGAAACGGATGCGGCCACAGATACAGTATAGAGTATAGACTATAGAAACTTATTGGTGACACAAAGTAATTGTAATCCTAAGATGACGTTTACAAGTTGTCGTTCAACAACTGAATGTTATTTACGGCAGTTTTAGCGCGCACCACCATTATGTGGAACCAGAACCCACTGATTATTTGTTTTAGTTTTCTTTCGTGAAGTATCAATTATGATAACATATAATATTTACTGGGCAGTATCCGAGAAACGTTTTAAAGACATCTAGGGATATAGGGATAAGCCAGAGACAGGAATTTTAAAACAGTACCTGGAGTAGTCTATAATAAATTGAACGTATACAAAAGTTTTTTAAAACTAAACTACATAATTCATAATATGTATTTATATTCAAGGATTTCATTTATTAATTTTGCTGAAATATAAATAATAGAGATTCCGGATTTTAATAATTCAAATACATATAAATACACCTTAGTTTCCTTTATTTCATCTTTATTCAGAATATTTTAAAACACAGAAAATAAATTTCGTAAGATGAAAAATCAATAGTACCCAAAGAACACTTCTTGATCAAATCGTTCGTTCCGGAAGAGTATTGGAATTAGCTTCTCAATAATTCACAGCCAATGGGCCGAGATAGAAACATGAAAGACGGTCGCAGTACTGAAAAAACATACATTTGCTTTCTATCAACCTTTTACCGTTTAGTGCTCTTAAATATGTACCACAAAGATGGCTCCCGTGTAGGGAATATAGTCTGTACGAATAGCAAACATGATTTTTTGAAGTTATACTTCTTTAGGCGCGTTTATATGTACACACAATTAACAAAAGTTAAAAAAATTTTTAAAATACTTTGACGCTTATCCTAAAGCTAAAATCACTTGGAGGTGTTCCAATCAAGGGTCCCCGAGACTCCTGCATAATCAGTATCATCAAATTCCATCGCATTGATATCAACCCCAACCCAACTGAACTTTATTGACTATAATGACTCCTTTTCCAGTTTTAGATTATTGAATTGTAATTAATTATTTGCATGCAATCAAAAACTATTTTTAATAATGCCAAAGAAGTATAACTTCTTACGCGCGTACATAAGTTTTTTTTTCTATGTTATTATTAATAGGTGCTTAAGACTAATTTATGAGATTTCTCTTATAATGAATTTGCTTTATTTTTTATTAGACGAGGCTTCTGTTCCTGACACCTTAATATTTGGGTCTAACGTGCAATGTAAAGCGAGAATGTAAGTGCGTGCTCCTATTTCACCATGCCTCCTGCTGATAGAGGACAAATCTTTGCTTTTATTTTTTTATTACTATCTATTAATTACTTAAGATGTCACGTGGAACATGGTGTAATGGTTGCAGCTTCTTACAAATATTGTGTACAACAAAAGATTTGGCGATTAAAAAGAGTGGCCAGAGAGTTTATTACCAGTTTTACGCCCTTGATTTGAGAACTGGCAGTAAATGTAAAATTAGAAGCATTTAATATATATTTCTTTTCTGACGTTCATATGTGTATGTACACTACATTGTGTTACCATGAATAAATGATTTTGATTGATGCGTATGTGGACCTACTGCTCCGTGACGTCTCCTGATCTCTATATGATTGTAAAATCCTATCCATTATCACTTAGGGTTATTTTACCCATATAATATATACAGTTCATAAAAAAAGGTTAAACTGTTTCGGAGCAGTTTTATAAACACTGACACAATATATGTATAGATTTAAATAAGCCAAACTTTAAATGTATAATACACACTACAGAATACACTTTCTCAAATACATACAGTACTGAGTTAAAAATAAATGACTAACTGGGAACAAAAGATGCCGGCTAAAGTGATTACAGGATTAAGCGAGGCTTCCTCCACATTTCAAATTAAGTCGTGGACACTGCAGCTCACTTAATTTATTATTATGGCTTGAAAATTCTACATTGTTGCCTGAATACAAAAAGCCGTACTAGAAACAAAAAACTAACTGTAGTCGATCGATTTAAAAATAACTTTACTTTATTGACTTTTTCTTACACTACTAATAATACATTAGAAAACTTATTAATACAAAATTTTAAATCAGATTTCTTTAGATTAGTCAATCTAATAGGCAAGTGGATCAGCCTCTTGTGCATCACACACACGACTTTTTGTGTCTAAGGCAAGCCGGTTTCCTCACGATATTTTCCTTCACCGTTCGAGCGAATGTTAGTTGCGAACATAGAAAGTAAGAACACAGCCGGGGATCGAATCTATGTACTTCGGGATCAGAGTCGCACGCTGAAGCCACTAGGTCAACACTGCTCATATAAACAAAGCAAGAAAATATAAATCCTACACCTTTTTAAAACAAATTATATATCCTTATGAATTCCGCCAGTGTGCGACCAAATATCAGTCTCACATGCAATAGTATAGCTTAGCACCGAGTGTGATTATTTGGCACCCGCAGCCCTAGTCTCTCCAACATTTCCGCATTATACACTCTACGTGTAAAATAATGATCAAGTCGCATTATAATTATTTATGGGTTCAGTCTTCAGATTGCATATCTTTATTTCTTTATTTTTAATATAGAGACCAGAAGGTAATGCCATTCGACGGCTTCAGCGGCAAGACATACCTCACTGGACGTCAACATACTATTTTCATCTAAGAGTGTCATCTCTCTGAGCATAATTTCCATAGAAATTTGACTACCTTTTTTTAATGTGCTTAAAATGCTGTGCCGTGGGGCTCAAACATCTCTGCTAATCAGAAGGGTAGCAAGACCCTACCCACTAAAAACACTTTAGCCGTCCACATGCCCTTAAGATGAGCCCTCGCGGTCCGCCAAGGCATTTAACTCAAAGGATCTTAGCCCAGTCATTTTAGGGGTTTCACCTCGGAATGAAAGATAATAAGCTCCAAATTGGTATAGACCTTTGTTTTGTCGTTCTAAATGTTGTCTCAAAAGTCACAAATGATACCGTGTCCGCGTCTTAAGATATTGAAGGTCAAAGGTCATAAAAATGGGTTTTTCGTGAATATCTCGCTTTCTATTGCTTAAATGATATTTGTACTTATTATAAAAGTTGTAGAGTATAAAATTCTCAACAATTTTTGTTTCATGTTTTTTTAATACGGTCAACCGTTTTTGAGGTAGAGCGCGAAGAGTGCGCAGCGCACAGTCATATATGGTCCTATGCACCTTGCATAGGACCATATATGACTAAGCGTGAGTTACGGTTATCAGTACGTTATATCAAGTCTATTATTTATTAAATTATTATAATTAATAAACAATGGCCATTATTTATGTACTAATTTTTAATTGTTGATATTTTATTAAAATCAGTAACTTAATTATTTATATTTAACTATTCAACTATAGTATATTATTATTAATTCTGGAATATATATTTTCAGTTAAAAAGACAATAAGGGGATATATTTTATGCATATCTTTATTTATCATTAAATATGCCATACTATACATTTGTTGAAATGTCAGTTTAAATATCATAAGAATTTTTATTGGTTTTAATTATAATAAAATTGTGAATAGAAGCTAGTTATTTTCATCTTCTTCGTCGTCTTCTTCTTGTTGTCGCTCGAAAACGTTAAATTCATTGTCATCATCCTCATTATCGGTCATATTCATCTCCAAACCCTCCAGAATTTCAGGATCGTATGCGTTTTCTTCATCGGGATTACTTGGATATTGTGCAGCGTTCAGGCAAGCTTGTCCTTTGCACTGGCCACAAGCTAAAGAACATAGTAGCCCTGATTTTCGGCATCCACAGCGGGAACCACAACCATTTTTGCAATTGCAAAATATTATATTTAGTAGTTTGGTTGGTGCTGGAGGTAATAACGTTCTTATGGGCTCCAGGATTCCATTTTCAAGCATCCAGCCCCATTCTTGAGGTTCTAAGTCATTCCCTAACCACGTTTGAATCTGGTAGTAGACGCGATTTATATGTTGATGAGCTGCTACACTTGTTGGTGGAAGTGTTGACAATTGTACAGGTTTATTTAGTTTCGTTAATTTAATGAATTGCGTGTAGCGAAAATGATCAATGTTGTCCTCAGATTTTGGAGCATTATATAATGCCAACAAGATGCGCACTCCATTTTCAAATAATGTTTGTACCGGGCAGTTTTCTTGTTGAAATACTTCCACCAGTTTATCCAAATTGGGAATTTTCTCCAATGCTTTAGTAACAGTTTTTTTTCCTTTTTTAAATAGCGCAGAAGTCGTGTCACAGCCACTAAATGCGTGTAAAAATAGAATGTGTTTTTTAGTACGCGGATATTGATCAAAACTTTTGGAAGAGTATATTTGCGTCTTAACATTGCCTTTCCCAACTTTTTTAAAGAAAATTTCCTGTTGATGTGATTGAGTACGCCCAATTAGAATAACGAGCAAATCAATATCTTCTCCTATGATGACGGCAGTCTTTTGATTTTCTGATAATGCAATAGCTGTCTCGATGATGAGAACATCAGCACCCATCATCTCTGGCTTGTTTTGTTGTGATATCAATAGTTTTTAATTTTTCGACAAGCATGTAGATAAATTTTGTTTTATTAGACCGATTTGATAAAAATTTCTCTTGGCTGATTGGCACAATCATTGTTTCGTCAAAACAAACTTCATACGATTTAGAAAGTGCAGCAGTTCTTCTTTGTTGTTCCATTGCTTTAATATTTTTACTATTGTCCGAATATCCGTCAAATACCACAACAATTTCTGAACCATAATGTGTTTGTAAATATTGAATGTCTAAAATATAATGAATCTAAAATAATGGAGAAAGTATCGTCTTTGCTCCATACGACGCGATGCAGAAGAAATCCACCGTCGATGATGTATGTTACATTATTTTCATCAAGCTCGATATCGACAGGTATCATATTGTCATATAACGTCGCTTTCGTGGTTTTTCTCATGCCATTACTATCAAATAAAGATGTCGGATACGGGCTTAGTTCATATTGAAGATATTCTTGTAGATTACTTTCAAATTTTTTGCTTACAGTTATTCTCTGGAAAAGTAACAACGGATCTACAGAGACTTTACAATCATTAATATTGACAGATTTGTTAACGGCTGAAAGCGGCAAAACCTTATCGACGCGTTTTAACTTTATCTCATTAAAGTTCAAACCAATTATCTTTTCCATAGATTGCAATCCGAGTTCATGGGCTCTATAACAATTAATTTGGTCATTTCCAACGATTCCTGAAGCTAAGGATACCAACTGATTCGTATTTGGAAAGGGATTATGAAGAGTATACCAATCAACCAGTTTATTAACATCAGTATTATCCCTTTTTATTCGTGAATCTCTAGCATCAACATTCAACATTCAACATGTTGGTCTACAGAATCCAAAGAAATGTTACAAAACCGTTCAATTTCTTCACAAATTGTATTCGTGGCATACATAGCATATAACCACTTACATAGAACACTTTCTTGTGTACTTCGGCCTGGAGATACTCCTCCTTCTGTCTTCATAGATTTCATAAGACTTTGCTCGATTACCATGTCTGTCCATGTACCAGAATTAAATTTTTCTGTTCGTTTTACAGTAAAGAATCCGTTTTTAAAGTTCTGAAAACTCTGTTCATCCATTGTCTCCTCCAGTTTTATCATATCTTGAAGATATAAATGAGCTGATTTCGCATATAGGAAATGACCACCAGCATGAAAATACGGCAACATTTTCCGCACTGCATCCAGATGTTCTTTAAAAAGTCCCAGTCTTTCAGCACGAATGAAATCTAGAGCTATTGATACCATTTCAAAATACTGCGCCCATAACTGTGCTGTGGGACCTCGAGCTTTTAATTCATTCAGTTTATCCTGAAATTGATCAATTAACGAGTTGGAGCTACTTTTACATCCTTCAACATCTTCGTAGGAAACATCGCGACTAGTTATCTGTTCAATTAACTCATCTAAAATACAACCTTCAATCTTCATCTCTTCAAAAATCTTCATTGATAATGCAAGTCGTAATAATGTATGGCCTCTGATACTTCTTGCATAAGCGTGACCATTCAACATTTTGTCGACCGAATTTGTAGCATATATTGTACTTAAAGCTTCCTTAAGACCACTACCGTCCATTATATATCCTATGCATCCAAGAAAAGACATAAGCATATGAAATCCTCCTAGTTTGACAACTGTTTTAGACAAGTCTGAGTTTGCATCTGACGCGGCAATCATTTCACGTGCTTTGGAGTACAGGGGTTGATCAAATGTAATTATGCACGTCTTTTGTTGATGTGACTTGGCAATATTTATAGCACAATGTAAAGTGGTATAAATTGTATCTAAATGACTAGCCAGATGATCAATGAAAGGTAGAAATATAACTTGAGAAGTTGAAAAATTCTTATTATTTTTCGTAAGTTGTTGAAGATAGCCATTCCACCCTGGCAACTGTGAAAGATTCTTCCATTTTCCGTATAACCACAAAAAATCAACAGTATTAAATTTTTTTTCAATTAGTACTTGATCGTCATGTAGATTTTGGACTTGAATCTTGCTGTACCCTGGTACAACTGGCTTTTCATATGCTAAAAGAGATACATGTGATATTGCTGCCAACTCTTTTGCACTTGGTGTAGTTGTACATTTTTTTATACGATCATCATAAATAACAGCATCTTTCGGAGTAACTATTTTTATCATTCCCATAACGTGAAGAGTATTATTACCGTCAAGAGTACTGACATTAATATCTGCATTGTCTCCAACATATTGCACCAATGCACCTGACTCTGATGGTAAAATACGAGGCTGTGGATGGTAAACTGCTGAAACTTCATACTGTACAGCACTTCTATATGGAGCAGCAAATCCCAAAGTTGATAAAACATCCAATAATTTCTTAGATCCATATCTTCTGTGAAGAAATACAGAAAGGCCTAATAGTAGCTGTGATGAAAATGATCGTTCTCGTATCGAAGCCATTATTGCGTGACTGATAGATGTGCATTTCGTTTTTAAATGATCTACTTGTCCTTTTCTATTCTTTAATATAATTTCTTCTAAAAAATGTAATAATGTTTTTGGTATTTCTTCATTAATACCATCTAGCATTTTATTTGGAGGTGGATACGTCTTAGTTTCGACTACAGATGATCTAATATCTTCCCTAATAATTGCCGCAGCAGCTTCTACAATACGTAAACGTTCTTCTGCAGGGGTGCTTTTTTTATTTTCGTACCAAGCTTTTGATAGTACATTAACCTGTGTATCACGGAAAGATATAATTGTAAATGCTCCTATTTTTTTTGTAATTATTATGTCAGTTAAATACTTTTGTTGTAGTTTTGTAATAATCGTCTTATCGTCGGGTATGTACTCCGTAAGGACATCTTTAAGTTCTTTCAACGTAAATTGAGAATCTTCATTATTTTCTATATAACAAAAAATCTCCTTCATTGCTTGAGTGACTTGATCATCTTGGCGCGGCTTCTTATCAGCAGATGGTACTCGAGTTAAAAAGTTGGTATAGCAAATAGTATGATACTTTGCTTCAGCAGCGATCAAATCATACTCGTAAAGTATACGTTCCTTTACTAATTCTCCTAAGAAATCGTTGCGTTCTTCTGCTCTTTTAATTACGTTCTCTTTAAACGCTAGAGTGCTTACATTACTTATTGTCCGTCTGTACTTCTCCCTTTTTTTCCTTTCCGCTACTTCATTAGCTTCTTGGCCACAAAATAAGCACAATTTTTTAAAATCAAACACTTCGTTTCTTTTTTTACGAGGTGCACTTGGCGTTGAAGGTTCACCCTCTTCTGTGCGTCGTTTCGATGCAACAATAGCATTTTTACTAGTGTACACTTTTCGACACTCGGAATGCACATTCACAGAACTTAAAGTATTTAAATAGTCTATATGTCCTCTTTCAATACTTGCAGTTTTTAAAGTTTGTAAACCACGTACAACATTCACAGAAACACCCTCTGAAAGTGACTTATCACATATAAAACACAAATCAGCCATAGCTCTTAAAACCGTACGTCCGTCGTTGCGAAGATACAATTTCAAACTAACGAATAGTCTTGACGAATACAAAGTGGTCCCTTAAAAGAGAAAGTGGCCTTGAATACAATAGAACATCTGTCCCGGCTATAAATAGAATGAACCTTCAATATCTTAAGACGCGGACACGGTATCATTTGTGACTTTTGAGACAACATTTAGAACGACAAAACAAAGGTCTATACCAATTTGTTGCTTATTATCTTTCATTCCGAGGTTGACCCCTTTTTTTACCTAATATGACTGGGCTATCTGGGCTTATATCCGGCTTAGTGGTTAGTCAAGGCCTTCTGGGCTGCTCGAGAGTGGGATTCCAGAACCATCAGCCAGTCTACGGTCAATCCCTAAGAATAATTGAAGAAACTGAAAAAAAAAAACAATAGCACACTACAAATTAATTTAAACAATTTCTTTAAAGACGTGATTTATATAAAATCGTTTCGCGATTATTGTGAGCTCTATGTGTACACGAATGATTGGAATATATTTTATTAAGTTCACTCACCGTCTGACATTCGAATTTTCGTATTAGAATTGACAGCTATTTTATGGTAATTTAGAGTTATAAATTACATATTTATTTCGTGCGAATGGTTTTTGCACTTTAGGTTAAACATTTAGAAATAATACGTTTTCTAAATAATGCAATTTGAATGAGCTGGTCCATATATTTTTGTACAAGGATTTTATAAAACAGCCAACAGTAGGTAACTTCGTAACTCAGAGTAGTCATACTTAACGCGGAATATACCCTTTTTTCTTTAAAGACCGGCAACGCACTCAAGAACCCTTTGGAATTGAGAGTGTCCATAGGCGGCGGTATCACTTAACATCAGATGAGCCCTCAGGTGAGGCCACCTGCCCGTTTGCCCCCTGTTCTATAAAAAACAACTACTATAAAAATATCTATTGGGCATTTTAATTTTGGTCCCGAAATATAAACCGAAATATGAACCATGATATACTGTCCATCATGCTAGCCACTAGACCAAGCAACATATTTTTGTAGACTTCGTTTTGCTATAATGTATATTGTTATATGTATAACATCATTCCCCAGTCTCTATATCAATTAACATTAACAAACCTAAGGAGCTAACATTTCTGTCTCCACCTCAGAATCTGTATCTGTAGGTGATCAATCCGTCTATTTAGGTCTAAGATTTCCTTACGAGGTTTTTCCTTCACCGAATTATAATAGTACCAATATTAATCGTCAATTATGAAAAAAAAATCATTTGATATACATATATTTGTATATGTACTTTGTAATTTAGTAATAATAATATGTAATAATAATAATAGCATTTTCTTCTATTATTTTTACAGAAACAAAAAATTTTGCTTTTACGACTTAATTCCCCGGGGCAAGCGATGTATTGAAATCAATATCTGTAAATGATAAATAAATGATAAATGATAAATGATAAATGATTTATTTCTGTAAGTAGGTTTTTACAAACACTTTTACACGTCAAACATTTTTTTTTTAAACTAGATGAGATCGACGTTTCCTATCTGACTACTCTGAGAAGAAACGCCGAAACAAACTCAGAGGTCACAGTCTCTTTTAAAGTCCAGACATAACTAACAAGATTATGTGAAGACCATGTAGATTGTTGTCTGAAATGGTCTTTTGAGGAAAGAACCACACAGATTGAGTGGACCTGTCAAGTCCAAAGACAAGACATTTGGGTAGGCCGCGAAAATTACTCAAACTGTCAGACTATGACTAAAACTGAGAAAAGGATTCAATAAATAAAAAACAATGATCCACGTAGTCTTCACATTCACAATAATACAAAATTGTATAAATAATACTTTACAAAGTAAATATTCATTTAATTGTACATAGAGTATGTAAAAAGGTATTTAAATCAACATTAATTGTGCAAATTTATTGGAGCAGCTCAATCCCAAGCCTTTTTGTCCTCAATATAGTCTTTGACAGTATAAAAGGCTTTCTGACAAAGTTTCCGCTTTATACTATTTTTGAATTTATTAAGGCTTAGTTCTTGAATGTGGCTAGGTAGTTTATTATAAATACGTATACATTGACATCTAAACGAACCACTTATTTTTTTAAGCCTGGTTGTAGGGACAACAAATTTGTGTTTGTTTCTAGAATTTACGTTATGGACGTCACTGAATTTTTTAAACAAATTGATATTTTTATGAGCATACAAAAGATTTTCATAGATATACTGAGAAGGCACAGTCATTATATTAATTTCTTTAAATTTATCTCTGAGGGAGTGTCTGGGACTTAATTTGTAAATTGAACGAATAGCCCTTTTTTGTAAAACAAAAATTGTCTGAATATCGGCGGCATTTCCCCACAACAGAATACCGTACGACATCACACTATGAAAATAACTAAAGTAAACTAAACGGGCTGTCTCTAAACAAGTTAAATCACGAATTTTCCTAACGGCGTATGCTGCAGCGCTAAGCTTTTTCGACAATTTATCTATATGGGGGCCCCATTGAAGTTTGGCATCCAAAGTTATGCCCAAGAACACTGTGGTATCTACAGGAATCAACTCTTCGCCCTTTATGAGAACACTAGTTTTTACTTGTCTAACATGAGGTATAGTAAACTTAATACACTTAGTTTTTTTCTCGTTAAGAAGTAGGTTATTAACATTAAACCAGTTAACTACTTTTGCGAGGGCGCTATTTATATTGTCACTAACCAGCTGCTGACGTTTGAGTTTAAATAAAAGTGAAGTGTCATCTGCAAACAACACTATATCAAGATTATCCTTTATGAGGTAAGGCAAGTCATTAATATAAATAAGAAACAAAAACGGGCCCAGAATAGAGCCCTGGGGGACACCCATTGTTACTATGGATCCGGGTGATCTTTTCCCGTTAACATCAACTCTTTGAATCCTATCACTTAAGTAAGAAGTGAGGAGATCCAGAGAGGCGTTCCGGATTCCGTAGTGATGCAGTTTCCTGATTAATGTTTCATGAAGAACGCAGTCGAATGCCTTGGACAAATCACAAAAGATGCCCAAAACATCGCATTTATCCTCCCATGCATTATAAACATGGCCTAAAAGTTCAACACCGGCATCAGTGGTCGAACGACCCCTTGTAAAACCAAACTGTTTGTTATGTAATAATTTATGTTTATTAAAAAATCTTTGCAGTTGATCTAAAATAACCCTTTCAAAAATTTTACTAAAGGTAGGTAGCACTGAAATAGGTCTATAATTAGTAGGGTCAGATGCACTACCCGATTTAAATAACGGTATTATTCTACTATATTTCATAAGATCAGGAAACTCACCACGGTCAATACAGTTGTTAAAAATAACAGCTAGAGTAGGTGCTACAATGTTTATAATTGATTTAGCAACGTCCACAGAATTACCCCACAGATCAGCAGTCTTTTAATATTTAACGTGTGAACGGTTTTAATTATGTCTCTACAAGTAACATATTGGAAATTAAACTCAGACTCACAAACTGGAACGTTTTCTTTAAGTAAAGACTCTGCAGCAGTGGGTGATGACCTTAGAGATTTAGTAGTTGACGCGGGAAACTCTGCGAAGAACTTTTCAAAGGCCGCGGCGACTTGGGAATCTGATTTAATTATATCGTCATCAATAGCAAGGCTGTAGTCACTACTTCGGTTGCTCGACCTTCCTGTTTCGCTATTAATGATATTCCATGTCATTTTAATTACATTACTACTATTCTTAATTTTTGTACTCAAGTAACGTGACTTGGCCATACAACAAACTTTTTTAAATAATTTAGAATAATTCTTAACATATAAATTAAATTCAGCAGTGTTAATACACGTCCGTTCATCATACAACTCATAAAGTCGTTTTCTACTTTTATGTATACCAAAGGTGGCCCAGTCACTGAAGCAGGTGTTATTATTAACCGAGAATGCCTTTGGAATGAAAGTGTTATCAAATTGTGTGCAATACATATTAAAAAAATCATTATATTGTTCATTAGGGTCATCATTAGTTGACAAAAGTGGTAATTTACTTAACAGTTTAGTTTTAAATGATTCCAAACGATCAGCTGTTTTTGGATTAACAGTGATATCTTTTTAGTATTTTTTTTGTTTAGATTTGGAATAGTAATCAATTGTCCGCAATGATCTGAGTCTATTAAATTAATAATTTCTTTGTGGGTTGGTATAATATTTGTATAAATGTTATCTAGGCATGTGGCACTAGTTGGAGTTATTCTAGTGGGCTCCAAAAATTGGTTGGCAAGGTTGTATGACTGAAACAAACTTATAATTTTTGTGCTTGACCCAGAATTTTCTAACAAATTAACATTAAAATCACCACAAGTGATGATAGACTTGTAAGAATTACAGATTTTGTGCAATACTTCATCCATAACCCTTTCAAAACAATCATACAATCCTGAAGGAGGCCTGTACACGCTTAATATAATGAACTGCTCCAATTCTATACAGGCTAATTCAATTGTCCGCTCAACAGATAGGCTCACAATATCCTTACGATCTTTAAATTTAAGTTGTTTATTTACTAAAATTAATGAGCCACCGTGTATAGCATTTACTCTGCTGAACGAACTACCAACCTGGTGATTGCTAAAATTGAACATGAACTGGTGGCTTTTAAGCCAATGTTCTGTCAAACAAAGAATGTCTATATCGTTACAATTTAGGAATAATTCTACTTCTAAATCTTTGTTCAAAAAACCTTGAATATTTTGATGCACCAGGTTGATACTATTTAAATTTTTTGCACTTTTAGTTGATCTTACCTTCCTTAAATTTTGGCAAGAGGTTGCCTCTTTTGTCCCAATTTCTAATTTAAATGAAAATCAAACAAAAAAAGTGTAATGTAAAGTGTGCAGTTTATACAATCAAGGTTTTTATAGATAACACGTCTTAAATAACTTAATTAGCTTAACTTAACTTACTTGAAGTTTCATTTATATGCATCCTAAAAAAA